CCAAGAACCATTATTGTTCCATCAGATTATCTGGGTGAGGCCCATCATGCTTTGGTGTGCAGCTGTGACCACCTGCCAAATGCGTTCAACATAAGAGGAGGTGGGAAGGATAATGATGAAGCACTTAAAGCTCTTCCCTGTGCTCACTCACCGGTGCGTCTTTGTGCTGTTGATAGGAGTGCTACTAAATGTGACACCCCACTGTGATTCATTGCTACAGAGATTTCCTGAAATACCAGGCTGCTATCTCCCTGGAACAAACAGCACATCAGGAGAGAAATTGAACGTGTCGAACACAGAGGCCCCTATCTACAGTCTCCAAAAACAATCTATAAAGAAGAATGTAGCCAACCCAGGACAGGTACAGATAGTAGCTTTAATACTAAAAAAAGCTCCAAACTTCAATGAATGTACACAGCACCATACATTAAAGATGAACGGGACAGTTCTGCTTTATCTAAAATCACTCATACAAAAAAAATATTTTTCTTGGCCAGGACAAAAAAAAAAGACAGGGCAGGGTGAAAGGGTGCTCTGTTCATTATTTATGAATATTGCTTTTCACTGTGTCAGCTTACTGCTTCAGTATTGATCCATAAACAGACGGTTTCAGAAGAACGACAAGTTTTACACACAGCAGCTGCATCACACACCAGTGCAGCAGTTGGAATGGAACAAGACATGATTATATTTCTATTTTTGATGTATGAGTTAATAACAATTCTCCACTGTGCACAAACAACTAATAATTATTAAGGATGTGTTATGAAGAAAAAGGCTTTACTGATCAATAATGTGCTCTATAATAATCTGTGCTGGTTCCGCAAGTCATTGAATCAAGCATTTGATGGAATTATTGATTAGTTTACAGGGAGTGAAGTAGGTAAACCTTTTAATATGTCTCAATACAAAGTAGAACAGCAGCCCTAAAGGTAAATGCAACTAGAACCACAAACCATGTCCGCCTATCCCCTGGATGATGATAACCGTGCTCATCACAGACAAGAACAGTGTGGCTGAAAAAACAGCTGTGTCACTGTTTCATCTCCCCCATGGTGAACCTAAAGGTGGTATCACTACACCACATGCTGATACCTTCATGCTGCATTTCAAACTTATCATCTAATCACCAGTATACATTCTAATTTAAACATCTACATGGTGTGCTTTTCATCATAAAGTTGACATATTAGAGATCTGTGTTTACATACTGAGTAAAAGACTGTTAACAGACTGCAGACACTGTGGCGGCCACTCTGGTATAAAATGAGAAGAGGAAGGTAATATGACACACAGAATCCCATTTAATGAGGAACTAAACAGGCCTAACAGCACAAACTTTGGAATTGGAAGCGGAGAATGCTAGAAAGATGTAAATACTAATCCTTCTTTAACACCCTGCTCTAAATCCATTTAAGACATTTCTACTTTTGTTTTTTTAAATACACTATAACTTACAAAAGACAAATGTACTACAAAACATGTAGATGGTTGTTTAAACAAGAAAATGTAGCGCTACTTTCTTAATTCTAGTACCAAAAGAGTATAGACATTGAGAATTACACATTGATATAAATTAATGTATCATATAGACAATGAAAATCCTCAACCTGACCACACTGTAGAAGTGATCTTGCAGACAGACGGCTTCCCCTCTGACTAGGCTGCACTCTAGTGGGGAAAGGCAGAAACCTCATACAGGAATGTAACCAACATCTATCTCAGAGAAAAAAGTCTCCTGGTGGAATATTTCACATCAGTTCACATCCATCAAATGCATCATCATGTAGTAATAGTGATGAAAATCTTGTGAGCTGAAGATGTTTTGTGACTTTAGCAGGAGTAGCTTATTTCCTGCTTATATTATCAGAGTCTCATTGGGTGCATTAGGGATGTGACAACGCGTTACCCAACCATGTGTTAACAACACACGTGACATGATTTGATAATGATCAGAATCTATCTCTCAACACAGAGTTCTAACATTCTGTCGCCCTAAGGCACAAAGTTGGATTTTCTAGTTTAGTTGTCAGTCAGCCATGCTTCATTTTTAACTGCTAACACAACAATCTCACATAAAGAACAACTGTTCTTCTTTAGTGTAAACAATTTGATGATTTGTTTAAAGAAGAAACAGACACCACATTCACAAGAGACATTCACTTCAGTAATTTATTATTTTGGACTTGAGATCATTGGACAACCTTGATGTTGATCCCGAGCTAAATAAATCTGAAATGATAGAATGTCTATAAAGTTATTCAAACTCACTGGATTTCTCATGTGCGCATCAGCAGCAATTTCTTTCCCTTTTCCCCTTCAGCTGTGTGTATGCTCATCTCCAGAGCAGGCAAAAGGCTGTTCTGAATTATTTACAAAGAATGAGTGGGTGAGAGGTGTGGGACCGATTAGGGAGTGACACAGAGGATAGTTAAATCTCAGTCCCTTTCACGGACCTGCTTGGGAAGCAGTTTCAAATTCAAATTTCATAGGACCTTTTCAGGAAAACGATAACGGTGCACTTCTTCCTACATGAATCCAGCAGCACACCAGTTCTTTTTCATTAGACCCTATTCTTCTGTTCCTTTATATATTGAACCGAAAGAGCTAAATCTCTTTCAAAAACGGTACCAAGCAGGCAGATTCTATGATGGCATTTATACCAAAGTGCTTTGTTTTCTAGATTAAACACAGGAATTCTGTTATATTTATCTGTTCAGTCTCATGTTTGCAACAGGACAGTGAACAGACAATGTCATCATTCATAGACAAAGGTCATGTCTTGCTCGATTATGGCTGATTATACAGAGCAGTCATACAATCATTATTACTGAGGTAATGACCACATGTCTAGTGGCTCTTTAGCTGCAGCTTGTGTTGTTTGAAATTCACTGAGAAGCAGCGTGATGAAGACACAACTAACACAAATAACTCATTTACGGGGGTTTTTCATGTTTTTATACACTGAACAGTTTTGCCAGAGGACGCACTATTGAGTATTCAAGTCCTGGGCAAAAGGAGATGACACTGGGATACAAATAAGGAAGTCACACTTGAATGAAAATTCGAATCTACAACCTTCATCTGAATTATTCAGACTCCATATCAAATTTACTTTATCCAGTTGCAGGGACCAGGGAAACAGTTTTAGGTGCGAGACTGTTTTAACATTTTGACATTCGAGTGCCCGGCCACACTTTAAAAATGCAGCAGTGAGCTAAGTGAAGGCTCTGCTACGTGCTATCACTTTACCTTTAATTCAATGGCTCGTGCCTGGAATTAATAATTAAAGAGCTTGCGCCACACTCATAAGCTTTGAGGAAGAATCCCCCCTCACAGGGCTGAGTGCTGAATACACCACAAACACATTAGGTGGTCATTTATAATAAACACACATGCATCACCCTGTTTCTGGACAATACATGCAGCACGACTGTGTGAAAATGTGGGTTACTGTGCCTACAAATAACACACTACACTACAAACATTAAGCTATATGTCAGTGAACTTATGCTGCAGTTATTCACGCCACTTCTCGCTTCCCCATTTCAGCAAATGACAGACACGCACCTTGTATGCCTCTGAATAAATTCACCTCCTGTTTGCTCACAACAACGTGAACAACTTCCACTGTGTCTCGTGCGGAAGTGTGAAAGGTCTGCATCCTGCCCCAGATGATGACAATGAAACACAGGGTGGGGCCTTCCGCATATCGACCAGTGCGATCATTTTCTTGTCCTTGATCTCTGAGGCCTTTTTTCCACAATGTTGTTATAGGACACCTGGTTTACACATCTTAAACAGGAAGCTGAAGCAGATCAAGTTCTCTGATGTGGAACACATCACGCAAGGTTTCTGTTTCGATAAAGTTTTTACAGCTGTTATACTTTTGACCCAGTGCATTTCAACTATTTTTAGGAAAATAAAACACCAGTATTTAAAAGAAGAGCATAATGTTGAGGACCACACAGACAAGAAAAATGGATTTTGACATTAGTTTATGTTTAGAACACTCAGGCAGTTACAAAAATTCATGTATTTTGATCAAATATTCGATTCAGGTTATATTTGGGTTTTTCAATTGTATTGTTATTTAATAGACTGTAGGATTTATCAGTCGTTTGAGGAAATAGAGAGGAGATTACTTATTGATTAAGATAAGTTGCAGGGGAGTAAAGGGCAACATAAGAAATGCAAAAATAATTTCTGCATTGCTGTCTAATGGCATATACCTCATGGGTGCATATACTTTGAGCGGCAGGTCCCTGGTTCCACTCCCGGCCAGTCTAGCATAAAAAATAGTGGATTTTTTTTTTATAAACTGTTTTGAATCAAGTAGGAAAATGTCTTCACACCTGCTGCTAAGACATGAAAACCAAGACTTTACAAATCGATTGAGTATTCAGTGCTATTAAAACCGCAATTTCCTATAGGAAATAAAAAATGAAGGTATTTCTGGTGGCTGATGACGTGGTTGAGCAGGACTAAATTCACTGGATAACAGTCACATGGGAAATGCATTGCTAGGAATCCACTGGGTTCAAGCTTACATCCAGTCAGCTGATGACGACACCAAACAACCAACAGTAACCTGACATGAACCTACGTTTTTATTTTGTCTGTCAATGAATGCAGCACCTTTCACCTTCACCCAATACAATGCTGTTCACAAGCAGAAGTGATACTATATAACCTGTGTTTTGAACGATATACGATTGCAGCAAAAGGAGAACTGAGAAACGAGCCTCATACATGGCTGTTGTACATCTGCAGCCAACTGTTGAATGTTTTGATCCCAACATGCAAACAAAAATTCACCAAGATACGCCAACGGGAAATTTAGACAACGCCTTTGTTGTCTAGTAACAATGCAGACGTATTCTCCACCATTTAAAACGACCACAGCCCTCACTGGTCTGTATGCAAACATATGCAATAAGCATTCTGCGGAGTACAAGTCACACACGTACACAGTTCATACAGCTGCGGTGTTTACTTACAGTTCTCTCTGTCTGCCTTTTGTTCAAGCCACAATTGGTCTTCTCCACTCCAGGTCCTACTCTATGGGTTGATTTTCTCTGTGGACAAAGAGCGAGAAGGAGCTGTCAGTGCAGTGATCTCAGGGGTTATCCAGGAGTTAACAAGCCGTGAGGCCATCTGGAACACGTGAGGAGAAAGCTGGAGGGCCAGAGGAGTGAGATAAGAACACTGAGATTTTCACAGTCTATCCTTTAAAACCAAGACCGAACATGCCAGTTCTTCAAAAGGTTTGCCAAAGAAACTATACAACAGAGCTATTCAACGACCTGGCACAACGTACGACACCTGCATCGGCATGCAGCAGTGAGTCACTGCCGTAGATGTGTCACTTCTTCCTGTCTCGTTTGAGAACCGAACAGGAGGCAGCTGATGACAAACCAGTGCACAGCTAACAGCATCAACACTATAATGCTTATTTGAAAATGTAATCAGAATTTCTCACCTTTTGGTAAAGAAATGTTGAAGTGTTGGATGGAGTTGTTGCAGCGGATCATGACAGAGGTGTGAACCCTACAGACTGTCCAAAAAATGTGTGGACACAATGACCTCTGTCAGCTTCTGTGGTACACTACTGATAGACGTCATGTGTCTTTATAGTCTATAAACATTCGGTACATGATATTTTTCCCCTCATTTTCAACAAGTTCACATGATAATTGTTTTCATTCATTCTAGATCAAATCACGTTTTATTAGATTAAGCAGTTGTACATTAAGCATTTGGGAAGAGCCATAGTTTTTCCTACAGGCATAAATAATTAAAAGGGGCTGGTGTCCTAACTGTCCTAATGGCTGTGACACAGAATCAAAACCAACAACGACAAAAAGCCCTGTAACTTCAGCACTCTGTATGTTTCACCTTGATTCACAACATGCACTAATATGAGACTAAGCTAACAGCTAACATAGCTTCAGGCATACAAAACAAAACTGAAATCTAACTTCTTGCCTGTTCAGAAAAACCGTCACCTCGAGATAAGATCTGTTTCTAAACATTCCTACAACAATAAACTCGTGAAATATTTAAATCCCAAAACTAATATCTACAATGTACAAATTACTCTAAGGTGGTGAACTCGTTTCTTTACCTTAAGATATAATTGGCTTAATAACAGGTCATAATATATACACAAAGGTGTTTTCCTGTGAGAAACTGAGTGGTTGGTTTTGAGCAGCTGCTAATAAACATAATTCGGCCCAATGGATTCCCCAGCAATGTCGAGGAATTGGCTTGTGTATAGAGAATAGGATTTCTGAGTTGACGTAAACAAAACTGGATATGCACATCGAGTTCTGGGAAATAGCAGATGCCCAGACAGTCCATCCAGCTGTTTGACATTTGATAATCGTGAGACAGAAAGATGTTCGAAAGATAGAAAACTTTCAGAGATGTACTATGTAAACTCAAGTCTCAACAAAGTAAGGATTTTGGATAAAAGCTGCTGGTGGAGGCTTCAAGATGTGGTAAGAGGTTCGCTACCATCAGTGGAAAGAATTAGGATTAAGAATTATGTTCAAGACACAAGTAACTGCAAGGCACTGGGCTTTTTAAGATGAGTGCAGCGCAATTCAAAATTCAACACTGTGTGTGAAATATTTAATAAATATTTAATATCTTCAGATATTACACAGTAAATTCACATGAGGTGGTCTCAGAGTTTTGGTTCTCCACTGCATATTAGCAAAATGAACACTCGTGAAAAAAATTAATTAGGAAGATTAAAAGCTGAAAAGAACAATTAAGAATTTTCACCAGCTGTTTCACCCCCTATAGCAATAATAAGGAATTAACTATGCACCTGATTTTTTAAAATGCATGACATTTTCCATTTACTTTATATTTGAGGTCGGTGGAGGAGAGAAAGAGCAGAAAGCATGAACCTCATCGTTGCACCAACAATTCGTACAAGCCGTTTTAAAAAATGAGCTCTGGAAAATGTCCAGATAATTGGGTCCATATATTTTCTGGAGTTTGCCTTTCACATATGAAGTTCAGCAGGAGCTGGTCTGGGTCAGACCTGTTCACAACACACTCGCTGTAAATTTTTCGGATATCTTCCTGCCGTATTCTCATATGGGCTCACTCAGATATTTTCCAGATATTTCACTGGTTGGCTGTCAGAGGAAGTTGCGGAAGTGTCGTAAGACTGACTCAGTCTGACTCGGACATTTGCATTCGCACATACAACCCCTTTAGTTCAGAGTTCAGTGAATCCCATGACAAACTTGCAGGTGTATAAAACCACAGGGAAGAACAGGGTAGCATAGTCTACAGGCAGATTTGAAAGGATCATGCCATAAAGCCAGAGTATCCCTGATTTGATTCTGGTAGGGAACTTTGGACATAAATCATACCCCTCTCTCCTTCACTATGTATTTAGTCATCATCTGATGAAGGCACACTACCAAAAGACAGATGATATGACAGATATCTGCTTCCAAATTAAACAGGGGAAATGAAAGAATAGAGATACCTATATAATTGCCTGTGATATAGGAGACAACCCTACTGAGTTTTCTTTCCACAATCCTGTTCTTAACACGGACACAGACATCTGGTGCTTCTCTTTTGCCCTCTCTCCGACTCAACTCTTCTGTTCAGAAACAAAATAAGCCGTCTTAAAACGTATTTACCATTAGGACTGACCCACAGCTTTCTAGGAAAGGTTGTGACTGATGCCTCCAACTTCAGACTGGGTCAGCTGTATCTGGATGTGCTAAATAAAACGGGTCCACGTGGAGGAATGCAACCGCCGTCTTTCCTGGCCTCCGTTCAGTTTGAGTAACTCTGGTCAAAGTATGAGAGTGTAGAACATCTTAAGGGAACAAAATCATTGTCCTCAGCTATAAATTGTCCTCTTTGAAAAGGAAAGACAAAAAAATTTAGGAATGTAGAGTGTTTTTTACTTGTACCAGATGAGATAAGACTGAACTTTATTGATCCAACACCAGGGAAATTCACAATATGTGGATTTGTTAAAGCAGAAAGCAGAAAGGGTATGCTTTAACTTAAATCAATTATCTTATGGCATGATTCAAATGTAATCAAAAGTCAGCATTTAACCTATATCAATATTGTGATACAATAACAGAAGCCTATACTTCTGTTATTGTATCACAAAAACTAAAGGTTGCATAACAAAAATAACTTGGAGCTACACCAAAATACCCTTAAATTACTTAACAGAAGCATAAAAGCACTCTTATGAGACGTTAGGGTCCTCTTAAGAATAGTACATTTTAGAAGAATCATGCAACATTTGACTGGAACATGATTAATGTGGAAAAGTGCAGTTTGAGACATTGCCAGCATCATGTGAATGAAATAAGAGTCTGTAGATATTTTACCCTGGACTTTATTCTGATATATGTTGGAGGGTGCACCCTGAAACATAATCAGCGATCACTGCTCCAGGTTAAACAGGACGCTGTGGGTAATCCACATGGGTCACATAATAGATGCAATACTTTCCACAGGAAGTTTTATGCACCAAACATGTATACTGTGGGTTGCATACCGTTATTCCAACATAGTCAGACAACCCCAGGGGTGTCACAAGAATGTTTCTTTATTCCTGTTAGCAGGTGTGAACTTTGAGCCTGGTCTGATCGACATGTTCTCACACAGCAGAGCTGGAGAGTCTCACAGATTAATAATAAAACAGGCCTAGTCTCGTCACGTTGGACCTACTGCTAAGACGTGACTCATTCTGTAGTTTGTCAGCATCAAGCTTTAGTTTCAAGCTCTGTGGTTTAAATGACAGCATCGTTCAGGACGTTTCTTTGATGAATGAAAACCACAGGCACAAAAATATGGATGCCAAGCACGGGGAAGAATGTGTCCGCTTCAGAGGCAAACTATGCAGGGATGATGTGCTGGTGAAAAGCAATTCACTTAGCTGACCACACGGTATCAAATTTGCTCATATAGCAGCTAATGACTTCCTTTTAATATGCAGGCTGAGATGGTTAAAGCTCCACTACAGTCAGCAAACTGTCGGGAGCAGCTGCGAACTAGCAACCGGTACAGAGAGTGTGAAAGACACTTCATAAATCACTGCTGGAATGTAGCCTCATTTCCTCTGTGACCCCACCTACTCAACAGCTTCTTCCTCCAAGTCCTGGATCTTTCTGCAGCAAGCAACTGAGACCTGAACATCACATCAATTGTGACACAATCTACAGCTGCGAGTCCCAGTAGTTGAAAAATAATTATTTCCCTGAAGCAAACTAGCTCACATCACCGTCATGCAGAGCAGACGTTACAAAACAAAACAGAAACTAATGAGAGGAGGCAGAATTAATGAGAGAGCATGTTTAGGGGACATTGTTGATACAGAGCTGATTAATGTCATTACAACAAAGAAAATTCAATTCATGCTTTGGCAGATATTGTGTCCATCATCAAGCTAATTTCCCGCCATTACTGTTTCACAAGATTTGCGAAATTTAGTGATGGTGTTCAAAACTTTTAATTTCATTATAAATAACTATAAAAAATAATGTGATAAGGATAGATGCATCGTGATCTAAATAGGTATGTCAAACTATTTTATGGATAACAAAACCGAAACTTGTCTGAAGAGGAAAAGTTGGCGCATCAATAAAAGCAAGATGCAACAAAGCTCAATGGAACCAGACAGTGAATCAATTGTGACGTGCATCACCTTATTCTGCTGCTCTACAAATAATTATATTTTCCTCATGTTTTCCATCACCCAGAGTTTGAATCCAGAGTTTACGCATCACAAGACACAGAAGAAGGGTTGCAAGTTTCCATAAATCTAATACAATCCCAAAACAATTAATGCAAATAATCATCGGACTTCTGATTTTGCAACATGTAGATGATTTTTTGTGTTAACTCGCCCAAAATAAAATGACTGACTGACTGAACTCAAACTCTCCAAAACACACAGCAATAGCAATATATAAAAACCTCAATGGGTGTTTTTCTATGTCAAGCATTGCATATTTGATTTGATATTTTTGCCTCAGGCCTAATTTGCATCTCATCAACATTCAGTCTGCAAATATGATGTTACATTAATTCTCCAAAACAGTGAATGAAAGAACATGAGTGAAAACCAGATATCTGAATCTGACATTTGGTATATTTCACATCAAACTGAGGCAGAATTAAATGCATTTCAAATGTATTTTAATAATAAAGCAGCGGGAGGTAGTTTATTGTAAATTTATTGTAAATTCTTAGAGAGCAGAATAAGGCCCTGAACAGACAGGAAGCCATTCTTGCAGTGAAGTGACTTTTTCCAGATGTTTTAGCAGGAGTGCTTCGGGCGCTTCAAGTTGAAGATATTGTGCATCAGGTTAAGAGAAGAAACGAATTTCTGATTCATATCAGATCAGTCAGTTGCAATAAGATAAGGGCAAAATCTGTGACCCAGTTTTTATATTTTTAATAAATATAATTATAGAAAATGCTCAAAACAATGTTGAAATGATGAAGCATCCCATTGATCAACATGTCGCACTGTTTATTCAATGTTCACATAATCTTTTTGCAGCAGCTTCAATGCGATAGACCACAATACTACAGCCAACTAAATACCAACAAGTGGCTCATTCTGTTCATCTTTACTGTTCGACAACTGCATTTAAATCCTACAAGTCTATGAAGCAATTTAAGTGCACATTTAAGCCTGGGGCTCAACAGTACAATGGAAATTGGAGCCAGAGATTTCCCGAAGAAGAAAGAAATATAAAAGACAACTACCAACATCAGCAAACAGTTTCGTATAAGACAGAAGGAGCCAAACCTGTCACCCACGGGACCGCGTGGGGGCTCTGGAAAAGCTTTCCGATGCTTGGGGGTGCAGTTTGTTATCTGCAGTGCCGCAGACCTTCCCCTTTGAAGTGTCGTCGAGCCACCGACTGAACCAGTGGCAGTGAAAGGTGGGAGTCTAGAGAAAATGAAGAGAAAGCAACAAAAGTTAGAAAACAATGGCGAGGTACAAAAGACAGAGACATCAGCAACAGAGAAATAAGCAAAACATGCCTGTTGACTTCCATTTAAACCTCAGAGACCATCGACAGCAATTTTGTTAGGAGGAGAGGTAAAACTTTGGGGTCATAGCACACACGTCAATGTTTTTACATCTTGTTTACAGAGGACGATTTTCCTTTTAGGGAGTAATGAAGAGAGCATATGGCGACCATGTGTTGGAGAACGATCCGCTGCATGGGGAGCGGTTGTGCGAGATGCACATTCGGATGGCAAAAGTGAAGAAAGTGAACTGACAGATTGTTTTGCCTGCTTCCTCTGTTCACTTCAACTCTCCCTCAAGGATTATCCTTTCTAATAGACTTAACGGCACTTTAACTGAGCTGCCAGCTGCCTGCTGCCTACGTCCCCCGGTGGAAAGCCGACCAGGTCAAGTCTGATGGAGGATATCCTACAATGAGAATGCAACGCATTCCTATACACACCTTCAATCATACTTACACTATTCAATTCCAAATGATCATCAGCGCTCTAAATAAAGACCAGGTCAAAGAAAATAATAAAGTCATGTAGATATTAGTATTAAAGTTGTAAAGCAAGAAGAAGATTCAAACCAACCCTCAATTTATTTTGGAAGCATTCATATCAAATCTCAAACAAGAACTGAATTAGTGAAACTATTAGTTTATCAAATATTAAAACCATGATAATGAATTAATTCATTTCTATGTTACTTTCCACACACAAATGTCTTTGTTTAGGAATAAACTGAATAGCTTTAGGTTATGGACTGTTAGTTGAACAAAAAAATGTGACCCCTGGATTTTCAGTAACTTCATATTATTGATATAGCCAAGAAAATAAGTGGCAGATTAAAGGAGAATGATAATAACAGCTGTATATTCACACCTCTGCTATAACCTTCAATTATTTTCGGCCACTTGGAGGCTGTGGAAAAATACATCATCACATATCATCACCTTTGTGGTAGTGAACTTGTTAGCAAACGGTTGCTCACGTACAACAGTTAGGGAGTAACATTGTCGTCCATTTGAAGTTATTGTTCCCGGTAAATGTCAGCCCAATAACTTTTGGGATATCAAGCTGTTTTTGTGCAGTGAGTTGTCTCACTGAAAACATGACCTCAATAAAAGAACCAAAAGAGGGAGGTTGAAGGCAGAAGAGGTAAACAATGACCTCACACCGGTTACAAATTTCAGTAAAGCCAAGGGGAAGCAGCAGATTCAGGTGACGACTCTGTGGCTTCAACACGAGTGTCAACTTTCACTTTGGTCAAATGGTTTTCCAACAAAAACATGTTCTGTTAAGCCACAGTGAGATTGACCTTTGACCACCCACATCCTAGTTAATCCAAGAGTCCAAGTGAATATTGGTGCCAAATTTGACACGATTCTGCAGGCATTGTTGTTTTGTGAGGTTGTTCTGACCTTTGACCTTCAACCCACCAAATCAGTTTAATTGAGTTAGGGTTTGCACATAATTCAAAAGGAATTCCCTCAAGTTGTTTGTGTTCACGAGAATAAGACGGACAGATGAAAACATTGCCTCCGGCCACTGGCTGTTACAAATTATATCCACTTTTAAGTTGCCAACTTGATCACTTCCCACAAGTTGCATATTTGACAGTTACAGTGACCAGAGCTCCAGCAGTATCACTAGGCACACACACTACCTACTATAATTTTGATAAACTGTAAATAATTTATATAGAGGGATGAGAATGTGGGCCAGAGAACTGTGATCCACATATCTTCGGTATTAGCGAACGCAAGAACGTTTCTGTGCTGTGATACAGTTCCACAGAAAAAAGCTGCAAACCATTTCACTTAATAGAACATATTGAATCTTCAAACAGACTAATTACAGAGTTTGAGACTTAATTGCCAAAAATTGTTAGGTTGGTTTTGCTCTGTAAACTGTATTATTATACATTCCCATCAAAAGACGGGCCTATCATTATTTCACAACCGTGCAGTCAGTGGCATCATTAATCACATTTAGTCGTCTCAACAAATTTTGGGAAACAATATGAAAGGCCAGACAATGAAGTGTTTGCCAACTGTTTCTGCCTGCGTGACAGGGACCAGACAGGGACAGCATGCTACAGTGACTTTTTTTTAATTTGTAAATTAAGAATTAGGTCAGGGTCTCTCCATCCTTGTCCACAGAGACTTGCAGGCTTTCCTTCAAGGGATCTCATCTGGAACTCATTTAGACCTGTGATCTGGTTTATTGCATTGGCAGAATCAGAAATACTAGGACTACTAGAATATTTGGATAATGGATTGTGACTGTAGAAGCCAAGTGTTGTCTAGTTTTAAGAATTCAAGATATCTTTGATACATTTCTTTCTTTTAAGTCCAACAGATAATCAAATGCAATTCAGATCTGGTCATAATTTGTGATTATTCAACGGCTTGCTACCAACAAAGAAATCTGCTTCACTGTGACTGTCCACCCACTACTCAATCTACTCATAAGAAGGAATCTCTCAGAATCAAATGTTTGCTTAAGACAGGATCATATTTGTGGAAATGGATATCCCATAGAGATGTGGTTATCATTTTTTTCAGAAATGGTAAAAAAAATATTTTTAGCCTGGAAAACCACAGATTGGTTGACCAATCAACAAAGAATTCTCCACAGTCCCTGATCGGTATACTGGAAAAATATTCCACACAGTATTTGGGTCCACACTAATAGGAAAAATATGCACATCACAAGAAACATGCAATGGCTTTTGTCCTGCAGTGTTGGTCAGCCTGCTGTATACCTATGGTGCCATGTAGCCATCATTTGGATTCACTTAACATCTCAGTCCTCAGACCTTAATCAGACAAATTTCATAAAGATAAAAAGCAGGAAGCTTACTTTCCATTTAAGAGTTTTTGAATATATGCACAAACCTTTTGTGAAATTGTGATAAGAGCATTGGGTAAAATATGAGAAGACAGCCTGGAGGCGTAAAAGCTTAGTGAGATTTTTTTTAATCAACCTCGCCATGGGGCCAGTTCAGGGAAATGCTGTGAGAGCCTGAACTGAATGTCCACTTCTCTAAACCTTAGGTCCTCAATGCCGCTATATTTAGTGTGAAACAGCTGATGAATAAGAGCACTCTAGTGATCACAAAGTGTGCAAGCTAAATTTACGCTCCGCAGTGATACAATCACACAATATTGTTTTATAACTACCCTCAGACAAGAAGTGGTAGAAACCAACAAAGTGACAAACCAGTAGAATATAAATCTGGGGTTAGTGAACAGACTTGAGGTTTGCCTGTGAGATTTCTAACAATGTCCTCTTGGGCCATGAGACAGTGGGAGACCCCTAACCAGGCCTGTTAGAGAAGCCTTCATTCACAAGGACAGCCGTTTCCATGCCAACAGGACCACTGCTGGGAGAGGCCTCCTTTTTCATCCTGCACCTCCGCTGCAGCCTCAGAGAGGGACTGGTGGGAATCTAAGAGGGAATGAGTTGTGGGTGGCAGTGAAGAGATGCATTTGTGTTGAGGTAAGATGGAGCAGGTTTGAGCTGAAAGCCTTACATGCAGTCTGTGATAGGAAATCACACCAATGCCTGAGGATGGCTGTGAAATTAGGAACTACTTTTAACTCTTCTAGACCAGCGTGACAGTCTGAAGGTATTAGGGAAGCAAATCATGTTTTCTAAAAACTGATATGAGATGAGAAAAGAGAAGTAAGTCAACCATCAGTCATTTTGCTGAAGATCACAAGCAACAAAGAAAATCAGAAATCTGCACTAAGTGATTTTCAAGCAAATAGTGAAAGAATGCCAAATGCTATTTTTCTGCTTTGACAATTTAATTTTCAAAGCCAAACGGTTATCAGAAAAAACAATTATTGCCAGATGGTTACCATGCAAATGATCATTAGTTGCAGGTCGGATATATTAAATACTGATTTTTTTCATTATAACAAAAACAAATGCTTAATGCATGCATTAAAACAAACAAGATAAAACCTGTTCATTTGTGGTTCAGAGCTAGGCTAGCTGATTCAGTTTGTTTCCAGTCCTTGTGCTAAGTCAAACTAAGCTATGCAGCTATAGCTTCATATTCAGCAAACAGAAATTAAAGTGAGGTCCAAGATCCAACTCTTGCTAAGCAATAAGTGAGTAAGTGCATTCCCCAAAATGATGGAGATTAATTTGAGGAATCAAGACAATATCAGGAGATATAGCCACAATATTTCAAAACGATGAGATTAACTTCTTTGACTTACTTTGTTGCTTCTAAAAACACATTTGTAAACAATTACATCCCCTAGTCTCTATGCTCTTCTGCCTATAATGCGAGTGTGTGTTTATGTACAACCTACTGCTCTAGTTTAATTACAGGAAAGTGAACACGACACGTATTTACAAGGGGGAGAAAGAGACTGGCTGACAAGGCAAGGTCTGCTCTCTGCAAAAACACTGTCCCATTACATGTCCCCTATAAACATAATGAGCAAAAGGTACTGGAACAGCTTAAAATTGTGCTTGTTCAGCGGTGGAGCAGAACCAAACAGAGAAAGTGTCCTTCTAGGACAGGATAAGGAAATACTCCTACATTCTCTTTTCTGCATCTCTGCTCGTCTTCCACAATATCATAATTTTGGATTATGACCTTTTTTATCACACTTTCTCTTGTCCCTGCACTAAGTCTCCCAGCGTTCACCCTATAATTCATGTCACAACGTATCCCTGAGAGATTCCTCTGTGTTCATTAACCAACTCAGAGCTGCACGGCACAGCACTGAATTATTAACATGCTCCTTGTGCCTCACAGATAGAGAGCAGAGGGCCATTCACAACAGCAGAATCCGCCTACGCTCCACTGTACTGTCAGACAGTAAAACCTCTGAGTGAATTCAAACTTGTTAAGAGAGAATTTAAAAGAGGAAGCTAAGAATAGAATCTACTATTATATGATAGTAG